TGCTGTGATGAGCTCTGAAACCTGACTGAAACTCTTCAAATAAGCCTTTGCAGATGATCTGTTAGCTGTTCGACAACACCCTTTCAAGAATTTTTGAGATGAAAGCCATGTTGCAAACATGTATTTTAGAATTACTTTACCCAATCTTCACTATTTCATATAAGACAAGTCTTGTGTTGACAATATTATCACCATTTTTCCTATAAATGAACATTGTGTTGATGGCTTATGACATTTTAGCTTTATGTCTTAAGCTACATTTGTCATATTGTGTTGCTGCAAAGGCCACGGTGAGTATATTTTTAAAAATTTGCAACAGCACTCTCATACCTGTAATGAGGCAGAGTAAATAGAACTGTCTCTCTCTTTCATGTTTAATTTTAACACACTGCTACCTTTTAAATTAGAAGTGATGATGTGAGGTGGGTGAAGTTTCCTCTTTCATGTGAAGAATAAAGACGATGAAAAAACATGGTCTTGGGGTCATTTTTATTTCATGCAAACTGACACCATTTCATCAATTATAAATCAACACATTCACTGTTTATAGAAAAGCACAATCTAAAACATGAAAATTCTGCTAATAAACACAGAAATGTCCATTGTCTTCTCTCTAAATGCAACTCTTTTGACAGTTTTTTTTCCATACACTCATAGCTTCAATAACATTAAAATTCAAAAAAGAGCATTAGAGACTAATGTATCCTTCATTTGTGGCTTTGGGTTGTACAAAAGAAGTGTTTCAAATCCTCTTCTGTTAAAACTGAGTTGGTACCTTCATGAACATGCCTGCTAGGGTTGATTCTCTTTTGAGTACAAATTAAATTTCAAAATATTCTTTTTTTCTTTTTCTTTTAAATGAAACCTGAAGCATTCTGGGAATTATATTTGAAACAACACATGATTTATACATTGTTGCTCTTCTACATTATTTACGCTAATACGATTTGTTCATTTATGAAATGCAATTATGAATAAAATAAAATAAGGTACCAAATTTAAAAACTTCTAGTCTTTTTTTATTTCACTTGCAGACACACAACTTAAGCTGTCAAGTGGCTGAGCATGTGACCACCAGTTAAAAATATATCTTATGTGCACATTCATTATGGTACTTCACAGCCTTCAAACAACCTACATGTTGAAGTGAGGGTCCTCAGCTGCATACATTTTTGTATCTGGGTTTCTGGTGTGGTTATTGTCAGATATCATGACCTTCTGTTAAAAAAAGAAGCTGGTAAAGTTTGTCTTTCTCTCTGTGAGAAGATTCAGCTGCTGACACACAGTGTAACAATGATTGAATAATGACAAGACTTTAACAAATGCTCACAAAAACATCAGATAAATTTAAGTCTTGATCAATAATTTCTGACTGGAGCAGAAAAGTGATGGACTGCTGAAAAAATCATTTAATTTTCTTTTTTAATGATTACATTGTTTCTTCCACTAGCTTTTTAAACAGCTAGAGATGTTATAGTTTCAATATTTTCACGTTAGGCAAATTACCTTTCATCAACTTTGCTTCTTGTGATGAGGGTACGCATCGCCTGGGTAGAATTAGTTACGCTGGCCCCTGCAGACATTGAAACATACAGGCAAGTCAAGACCATAATACAAAGATAACTATGAAGGAAGAATGTTTCCTCAGCTTGACTCGCACATGCCAAGGCTAATCACAAAGTACAGATAGTGTAACATAAAAGATACGCATTTATGATATTATGTAAGTACTATGAGATCATCATGTTGCCTAGCAACCACCTACCAAATAATAATACCAAATTTACAGTGTTTCAACACAAGAACATCTTAAAAAAGGACAGCATGATTTTAATTTCATGAAAGTAGCATCCAATATGTATTCACAAAACCTCAACTATGTATGTCATATTATGGCATTATCATGTTACCTAGTACCCATCTAAGAACAGACTAAAATTAAAAAACTTTAAAACTCTAAAAGAAATGTAGCATGGGCATGTATTAGTTTTTAAAATCTACTAAAAAAGGTGTAAGTCTTCATCTCTACTCTGGAGTGACATCAGAGAGGGCCAGGGCAGCCAATGCTTATGATTTGGTTTATTGGTTTCAAAGCTAAACAAGAAGTCATGTTCTATAATGGTGAGCCATACTTGGTGTCAAAGAAGTTTCTGCTATGTGACGTCTGGTGGTCTGTTGATGTTTCTGATGTTGAAATACTCCAGTCAGAAGGACCAAAATAATCACCATTAAAATACAGAAACCAATGCCGAACACAAGGTAGAGGTCTAAGCGAAGCACCTGAGGTGGAGCATCAGCTCCTAGAAAGATAATTGCATGCATTGTGTATTAGACATAATTATAATGATGTAAATTAATGTAAACAATTTATATTAATATAAAAAACCAAACACAAACCCTAAACCATCAATTTATGGTATACATTCATCAAATAATGCGTATCTGAACACATGAACTTCATGTTTATGCAAAGCTTCAAAATGCATTGTAGATAAAACACACAGCTTTTAATTGTCTATAAAACTTACTTCCAACAGCTAGCCAGCTCTCTGGTGATTCTTCAGTCTTAGAAATGCTACATTTGTAGAACCCTTCATCAGACTTGGAGACAATGGGGTTCATCATCTTTCCTGTTGAACCAATCCCAATGAAGGCACCATTTTTAAAGAATTCAGCAGTGAAATTGGGGTGTGCATGCTTCTTTTTACAGAGCAGGGTCACATTATCTCCCTCCAACAAAGGATAGGCAGGACTCTCCAGGATCACAGGACCATCTGAATGTGAATGGCACATGACTTGAAAAGTTTCTTATAGAAAACTTGATTTCTGATTAAATTATATAAGACTGATTCAGGACAGACAATTAGTTATGTTTAAACTTTCCTAGCAGTCCTTCACAAACAGGGAACAGTCTGTCTATTCTCTCCATCTGTCAGCTGCTGCTGGCTCTTCCTCCTCCTCTTCCTCACACACTGCTGAGTTTGTCCTGGTGGATCATCAGGGGTGCAAAGCCTCACAGATGATGTGCAGCAGTGGCGTCCCTCAGTCTGTCCTCACTCTGGACACTTGCAGTCGTCACACATGGAAATCAAATGTGTGATAAGCTGCAGGATTCAAACACAAGTGTAACTTATAAACACATGTTCATACTTTTATTCCACAATCAGAGAGAAAGAAACAGAGAGAGAGTGCAGGACAGACAGACAGGTGACAGTCTCAGGTGTACACACTGCTACAAACAGGAGGATTTAGTGTTTGTGTTATTACGAAACAAGAAGAGTTCCCAGATGGTACAGTGGACACATGTGTGACTCCTGTGATTAAAGCATCTTTCTTTCAGCTTAACGAGTGAACCGTCAGCTCGTTCAAACACACGTTAAAGTCCGTTTGGCTCGACACCACCGAACAGAGGCAGCAATATAACATAGCTAACATTAACAGTGCAGTGAATCCTGCTTGTGCCGTGATATTCAGGACTGCAAACCGAGCAGCATCACTGACTTTCAGCTGTTGTGTTTGTGGATATATGACTGACTTTAATTATCCACAAAATCATCACATTCTCGTAGATAAGATGTGATAATTATTTGTTATCTACATTATTATGTAAATAACAAAATAACTTAAAGCAAAAATTGGGAAACGTAAAGTCCGAAGTCTTTATATTAAGGGCCATCAGTCAAACAATACTGTTTGCTCTGGGTCTAAACAGAGCACGTTGTGTGTGACGTCTTCTTTGCATGCGGGCCGCTTTGAGCGTTCACACTAGAGCAGCGTTTGCTGTCGCATTTTATTTGTAGTGTGAACAGAGCAGACAAAAAAATCGGATTTGATCAAAAAATCGGAATTGAGATTAAGATCTGCAGTGTGAAGTAGCCTGGTTCAGGGGGATGACAAAAAGAAACTAAAAAACAAAGGACTAAAATGCAACCTAGAAATTAACTAGATGAGCTAAACTAGAACATAAATAAATACAAAAGATACATAAAAACTCAAACACTGGGTCACACGACCCAGTACTCGTGACATAGATAAAGCTGTATACAGTGTTGGGGAGTAACGGAATACATGTACCGCCGTTACGTATTTAAAATACAAAATATGAGTAACTGTATTCCGTTACAGTTACCGTTTAAAAAGGTGGTATTCAGAATACAGTTACTTTGTTGAAATAAATGGATTACACTGCGGTACTTTCCTGTTTCATATTGTCGCGGGTCAGGACTGTTTGGGTTTTGTTTGACAGCTACGTTCTGTTGTTCCAGGCGGCAGCGTTACGGTTGCCATGGTTACAGGGCGACGCTCTCTCTCTCTCTGCGACTGTGTGTTTCCTGGGTGAGAGAGCGCCTTTTCGGTTGTTGTTGTGCTAAGCTAACAGGCAGAATGCTACAAGCATAGCTCTAAAGAATGTAGCATCATGGGCAGTGTAGTCCGTGTTGCAGGGAGAATGGACTGCCATACACGTTATGGGTCTGTGAGCGCGAGGAGGGAGAAAAAGGGGAGTGGAAAGGTACGAGTTGTCATCGAGAAAAACGGGAGCTGGAAGCATGTAAATATAATAATAACCACTGCAGCCAAGAAGAGTGCCTGACGAGCCCAGTTGTAAGTAAGCTATTAAGACTCGACTGTACACCGTGTTCGTGTTTTCCTCCGAAAACAATAAGTTCCGTTGGAGCAGCCTTTCAACGCCTCTCTCTGTCTCTCGCAAGAAAAGTTGACCCACACAACAAAGTAAAGCTATTTTTCGGCTACGAGCCGACAGGGACCCCGCCGTATTAGTCAGAGGTCCCTTTACTACAGTTCGGAGTCGCGGACCTTCAGTAATAGTAATAAATCACACAGCAATAGTACATTCACGTTGTTGTAAAAAGCATGATAATATATTAAGTAATCCAAAGTATTCAGAATACGTTACTGTCATTGAGTAACGTAACGGAATACGTTACAGAATACATTTTGGGGCATGTATTCTGTATTCTGTAATGGAATACATTTTAAAAGTAACCTTCCCAACACTGGCTGTATGTCATCTGCATAGCACTGAAAATGTTTGCCATGCCTACTGATGATACTGCCTCATTTGTAACCTTCACTAAAGCTGTTTCTATGCTGTGATGAGCTCTGAAACCTGACTGAAACTCTTCAAATAAGCCTTTGCAGATGATCTGTTAGCTGTTCGACAACACCCTTTCAAGAATTTTTGAGATGAAAGCCATGTTGCAAACATGTATTTTAGAATTACTTTACCCAATCTTCACTATTTCATATAAGACAAGTCTTGTGTTGACAATATTATCACCATTTTTCCTATAAATGAACATTGTGTTGATGGCTTATGACATTTTAGCTTTATGTCTTAAGCTACATTTGTCATATTGTGTTGCTGCAAAGGCCACGGTGAGTATATTTTTAAAAATTTGCAACAGCACTCTCATACCTGTAATGAGGCAGAGTAAATAGAACTGTCTCTCTCTTTCATGTTTAATTTTAACACACTGCTACCTTTTAAATTAGAAGTGATGATGTGAGGTGGGTGAAGTTTCCTCTTTTATGTGAAGAATAAAGACGATGAAAAAATATGGCCTTGGGGTCATTTTTATTTCATGCAAACTGACACCATTTCATCAATTATAAATCAACACATTCACTGTTTATAGAAAAGCACAATCTAAAACATCAAAATTCTGCTAATAAACATAGAAATGTTCATTGTCTTCTCTCTAAATGCAACTCTTTTGACAGTTTTTTTCCATACATTCATAGCTTCAATAACATTAAAATTCAAAAAAGAACATTAGAGACTAATGTATCCTTCATTTGTGGCTTTGGGTTGTACAAAAGAAGTGTTTCAAATCCTCTTCTGTTAAAACTGAGTTGGTACCTTCATGAACAGCCTGCTAGGGTTTATTCTATTTTTTGTACAAATTAAATTTCAAAATATTCTTTTTTTTTTTTCTTTTAAATGAAACCTGAAGCATTCTGGGAATTATATTTGAAACAACACATGATTTATACATTGTTGCTCTTCTACATTATTTATGCTAATACGATTTGTTCATTTATGAAATGCAATTATGAATAAAATAAAATAAGGTACCAAATTTAAAAACTTCTAGTCTTTTTTTATTTCACTTGCAGACACACAACTTAAGCTGTCAAGTGGCTGAGCATGTGACCACCAGTTAAAAATATATCTTATGTGCACATTCATTATGATACTTCACAGCCTTCAAACAACATGTAGTGAGGGATCTCATGGTACGAAATGTAAAGTGAGGGCTCAGCTTGCAGCGGCGCCTATCATGATCTATATCCAACTATTTTCGCTACCTTGTCTGCGGGACTTGTTCTCTTGTTTAATATGCAGTTGGTTATTGTAAGTATGACTTTGTTAAAAAAAGAAAGCTGGTAAAGTGTGTCTTTCTGTCTGTGAGAAATTCAGCTGCTGACACACAGTGTAACAATGATTGAATAATGACAAGACTTTAACAAATGCTCACAAAAACATCAGATAAATTTAAGTCTTGATCAATAATTTCTGTCTGGAGCAGAAAAGTGATGGACTGCTGAAAAAAATCATTTATTTTCTTTTTTAATGATTACATTGTTTCTTCCACTAGCTTTTTAAACAGCTAGAGATGTTATAGTTTCAATATTTTCACGTTAGGCAAATTACCTTTCATCAACTTTGCTTCTTGTGATGAGGTTACCCATCGCCTGGGTAGAATTAGTTATGCTGGCCCCTGCAGACATTGGAACATACAGGCAAAGTCAGGACCATAATACAAAGATAACTATGAAGGAAGAATGTTTCCTCAGCTTGACTAGCACATGCCAAGGCTAATCACAAAGTACAGATAGTGTAACATAAAAGATACGCATTTATGATATTATGTAAGTACTATGAGATCATCATGTTGCCTAGCAACCACCTACCAAATAATAATACCAAATTTACAGTGTTTCAGCACAAGAACATCTTAAAAAAGGACAGCATGATTTTAATTTCATGAAAGTAGCATCCAATATGCATTCACAAAACCTACACTGTACAGTGGGGCAAAAAAGTATTTAGTCAGCCACCGATTGTGCAAGTTCCCCCACCTAAAATGATGACAGAGGTCAGTAATTTGCACCAGAGGTACACTTCAACTGTGAGAGACAGAATGTGAAAAAAAAAATCCATGAATCCACATGGTAGGATTTGTAAAGAATTTATTCGTAAATCAGGGTGGAAAATAAGTATTTGGTCAATAACAAAAATACAACTCAATACTTTGTAACATAACCTTTGTTGGCAATAACAGAGGTCAAACGTTTACTATAGGTCTTTACCAGGTTTGCACACACAGTAGCTGGTATTTTGGCCCATTCCTCCATGCAGATCTTCTCGAGACAGTGATGTTTTGGGGCTGTCGCCGAGCAACACGGACTTTCAACTCCCGCCACAGATTTTCTATGGGGTTGAGGTCTGGAGACTGGCTAGGCCACTCCAGGACTTTCAAATGCTTCTTACGGAGCCACTCCTTTGTTGCCCGGGCGGTGTGTTTTGGATCATTGTCATGTTGGAAGACCCAGCCTCGTTTCATCTTCAAAGTTCTCACTGATGGAAGGAGGTTTTGGCTCAAAATCTCACGATACATGGCCCCATTCATTCTGTCCTTAACACGGATCAGTCGTCCTGTCCCCTTGGCAGAAAAACAGCCCCATAGCATGATGTTTCCACCCCCATGCTTCACAGTAGGTATGGTGTTCTTGGGATGCAACTCAGTATTCTTCTTCCTCCAAACACGACGAGTTGAGCTTTATACCAAAAAGTTCTACTTTGGTTTCATCTGACCACATGACATTCTCCCAATCCTCTGCTGTATCATCCATGTGCTCTCTGGCAAACTTCAGACGGGCCTGGACATGCACTGGCTTCAGCAGCGGAACACGTCTGGCACTGCGGGATTTGATTCCCTGCCGTTGTAGTGTGTTACTGATGGTGACCTTTGTTACTTTGGTCCCAGCTCTCTGCAGGTCATTCACCAGGTCCCCCCGTGTGGTTCTGGGATCTTTGCTCACCGTTCTCATGATCATTTTGACCCCACGGGATGAGATCTTGCGTGGAGCCCCAGATCGAGGGAGATTATCAGTGGTCTTGTATGTCTTCCATTTTCTGATGATTGCTCCCACAGTTGATTTTTTCACACCAAGCTGCTTGCCTATTGTAGATTCACTCTTCCCAGTCTGGTGCAGGTCTACAATACTTTTCCTGGTGTCCTTCGAAAGCTCTTTGGTCTTGGCCATGGCGGCAGTTTGGAGTCTGACTGTTTGAGGCTGTGGACAGGTGTCTTTTATACAGATGATGAGTTCAAACAGGTGCCATTCATACAGGTAACGAGTGGGGGACAGAAAAGCTTCTTACAGAAGACGTTACAGGTCTGTGAGAGCCAGAGATTTTCCTTGTTTGAGGTGACCAAATACTTATTTTCCACCCTGATTTACGAATAAATTCTTTACAAATCCTACCATGTGAGATTCATGGATTTTTTTTTCACATTCTGTCTCTCACAGTTGAAGTGTACCTCTGGTGCAAATTACTGACCTCTGTCATCATTTTAAGTGGGGGAACTTGCACAATCGGTGGCTGACTAAATACTTTTTTGCCCCACTGTATGTTCATATTATGGCATTATCATGTTACCTAGTACCCACCTAAGAACAGACTAAAATTAAAAAACTTTAATTTTATCTAAAAAATCTACTAAAAAAGGTGTAAGTCTTCATTTCTACTCTGGAGTGACATCGGAGAGGGCCAGGGCAGCCAATGCTTATGCTTTGGTTTATTTGTTTCAAAGCCATACTTGGTGTCAAAGAAGTTTCTTCTATGTGACGTCTGGTGGTCTGTTGATGTTTCTGATGTTGAAATACTCCAGTCAGAAGGACCAAAATAATCACCATTAAAATACAGAAACCAATGCCGAACACAAGGTAGAGGTCTAAGCGAAGCACCTGAGGAGGAGCATCAGCTCCTAGAAAGATAATTGCATGCATTGTGTATTAGACATAATTATAATGATGTAAATTAATGTAAACAATTTATATTAATATAAAAAACCAAACACAAACCCTAAACCGTCAATTTATGGTATACATTCATCAAATAATGTGTATCTGAACACATGAACTTCATGTTTATGCAAAGCTTCAAAATGCATTGTAGATAAAACACACAGGTTTTAATAGTCTATAAAACTTACTTCCAACAGCTAGCCAGCTCTCTGGTGATTCTTCAGTCTTAGAAATGCTACATTTGTAGAAGCCTTCATCAGACTTGGAGACAATGCGGTTCATCATCTTTCCTGTTGAACCAATCCCAATGGAGGCACCATTTTTAAAGAATTCAGCAGTGAAATTGGGGTGTGCATGCTTCTTTTTACAGAGCAGGGTCACATTATCTCCCTCCAACAAAGGATAGGCAGGACTCTCCAGGATCACAGGACCATCTAAATGTGAATGGCACATGACTTGAAAAGTTTCTTATAGAAAACTTGATTTCTGATTAAATTATATAATCTTTCAAATACTACAGGCAATAGGTCAAAAATCATTTTTAAGAAAAAATGCATAACACATCATACAAACTTTGACGAAGATGCTTTTGTTATCAGAGTAATGCTTAATTTCCAAATATAATGTGCTGTATTTGCTACCAAAAACAACTGACCTAAAAATTGGTCATATGTCTTCCTTAAGCGAAGTGTGTAAAATGATTCTTATTTACCTGTTTAAGCACACACACACACACACACACACACACACACACACACACACAACACTGTAATTGATATACCAAACCAACAGATCTAAAAAGTGGATGGACTAAATATGTT